TTGATCTTTATACAATTCATTTTACTCTTTTTGTTTTTATAGTTTCAAAAATTGTACATATTAATTCGTTTATGTTAGTTTCGGATTCTACTAATGTTGTTAACACATTTGCTAGACGTCATCATACTTGACACGTGGATATCATTTTATTGGATACTTTTTCACGTTATATGGTATGTGATATTTAACTTGTAAAAAGTAATTTAAATTTCTAATTATTTATTGATAAAAAAAAAAGAACTATTACATTATTCAGGAGCTTATTATTATAGTTTTAGAAGTATTAGTATTAGCATCTATACTTTAGGGAATTTTTAACCTAATCGAATTTGGGAAAGATTAAATAGAAAAGATTATAAATATCTATGTCATCTCACTTATCGGGGAAATCCAGTTACTAAAGAAAATTTTTTTTGAGAGTCTTCTCAATCTTTTGCTATACAGTACAACAAATCTTCATGCGCAATGTTTGAGAACTTTTTAGGTCTGATATCTAAGAAAGTTTTGCATATTCCCTAGCTTTTCATCCATCAACTTAATTATAAGAGAATGAATAGTTCTTCCACATGAGTCCTAAACATAGGTCAAGGCCGAAAATTTAAAGAAGCAAGCATCATGCTTGCTGAAAAATATTAAAACACTTCAGCCCTGTTTGATATATATATATTTTTTTGAAATAACTGTTTGACATATAAATACTTTTTATTTTTTACTTCTAAATTTATTTTATAGGTATACATAACATAACCCCAAAGTCTAAATTCTTTTTAATTCTACTGAAAATCAAAAGTTTCTGATTTCTAATATCTGATTTTCTTATTGTCTGCACATATTAATCATTAAAAAAGTTGAAACTACAGTTATTAGGTTATGTATTTTTTAAGTTTAAATACGTAATATATATAAAATTTTATTTTATTTTTTAAAAAAGAACAATATAAGTGGATGGAGTTGACTTGAAAATTGACAAATCAACAACCACCAACAGAGCTATCAAAGAGACTGCCCAATCCAAACCAACCCAGTTATTGCTCATAAACAATATAATAGAAGGGTAAAATAGTCAATCCACACAAGCGATAAAACCTATCTTTTTGAAAAAAGAAATCAGAAAAGAACAAGAAGAAATTAGAGAAACTAATATTTGAAAATAGAAAAGGAAAGCAAATTACCTGAGAAACAACGACGTGCCTAATGCTACTATCCTCGTCCCTATCTCCAAATCCATGGTCGTGGCCATGTCCATGGCCGTGCAGGTGAACGTGTCCGACTCCGTGGACCTTGGCTTGCCCGTCACAAGCGTCCTGCCCATGAGGGTGGTTATGTCTGTGGTGAGCTGCGTGTGCATGCATTCCCACGATGTGCATCCCACCACCTTCTTCCTCACCAAACACCTTTCCCTTCCGATCTTTATTATCTTCCATATCCACCGCTACGATGCCCGACTCCGACTCCGAATTCGCAGCTGAACCTCCATGCTCTTCCCTTACCCGAGTCAACCCCTGCTTCCTTTCGTAATACTGGGTCCCCACAAAATCAGCCAACAGCGTCATTAACGCTGCAATCATTGCGAAGAACCCGGAGAAAGGAAACTTGGACCATGGGAATTCGGGCAGACATGGGTCTGATAGTGCATCCGACCCGCCCGAAAGCATGTGGACGAATCCGGTCGCCAGGATGACACCCGCGGCGAAAGCCTTCGCCGCTACGAAGAGGCTGCCGTCCGTTCGGAGAAGTCGGCGGTGCCTGCCGAGGAGAGGGATGGAGACGCCGGTCACGCCGGCGAGGAGAATGGCCGCCATAGCCACGAATTTCAGGATCCTCGCCGTGGAGTCATCTCGGCATAGGTCCGAATCAGTCGGGTTGCAGTTCGCGGAGAGCATGGAATCGGATATTGTCTGCAAGAAGGACTCTATTTGCGGTCCCAATTGAAAGAAAACACACAAGTGCTCAGATTTTTCAGAAAATGAATCAGGAATCGAGTACTCGAATCAAGAACCAAACAAACCATAATTCGGAAGAAATCGATTAATTTGCTCAAAATTTAATTTCTTGTTCCCGAAATTAAGGACGATTAAACTCTGTTTGGGTTTATGAAAAAACGCGAGAAAGAAACAGAAATTTGCATCGTCTTGAAGAGTAAACGAAATTCCGGCATCCAAGAAAACAATGATTGCGTCTGATTAAATAAAATTAAACAGCAAAAAAGATAAAATACAGAGAAACCGATAAAACCCAGGATTCAAAATTCCTTTCTATTTAAATTGCAATGGTAACATAAAGAAACAATAAACAAAGTGTTTTCCGCAATACCTGAGAACGCTCGAGATTTTGATCCGAAACGATCCAGATAAAGCAACTGCAGAAAATCCTGAACCAAACAACACCGACCATACAATCATCAATTCAAACCAAATGATTGAAAAATAAAGAAAAACACAGAGAGAAACGGAGAGGGAGATAAACAAGGGGAATGAATTACATAATTAAAAAGAAAAAAGAAAGAACCTCGAAGAAGAACATGGAAGAATAAAGAAGAGGAAGCGTGATGATGATACTAGGGTTTATACAACCTAGGAGGAATTTTAAATCCGGAAAGTGCAAAAAGCACGAAGGAAAATGAACTAAACAAAGGGAATGGCGAAAAATGTCGGAGAAAGATGATGACAGAATGTCGTGTGGGAATAGCCGAGAACAGAGAAGGGGAAAAGTGAGAAAGCGGAGAAACGTAGAGTGTCGACATAGTCTGACGAAATGGTGGGGGAGAAGAAGTAGCAGGTGAAGAAAGTTGCGACTTTTTGCAATAAAATGACCACGATTGTGTCGACATATTTTGCCATTGATTTATCCATTTTTAATAATTATTATTATTAGGGAGTCTTCAAGGTTGATTCTCTTATATTTTAAAATATTTGGTGTAATTTAATTTTTAATTATAACTTATATTTTATATTTATTTTAAATCTTTTAAATTTATTTTTTAATAAAAAATTAAAATAATCAAATTATATTTAAATATTTTAAAAAATAATTCAAAAAACAGCTTTGACTAGTTAATTAAATTAATTAATTAATAATAACGTGCATGAAATAATATAAGTCATTAAATATTTGGAAAAAGTATGAGCGCATTTTTATTAACTTGTTGTAAAACCAAAGCGGTTTATTTTTTATAATAATAATTACAATGTTTTAAGTACATAATTATTTATTTTTAAAAATATAAATTTATTTATTTTACGTTATAAATATATTCTACGCTCATAATTTTCACCGCCTGGTTTACCGTCATTCCAGAATTTTCACCTCAGACCGTCGTCCTGGATTTTCTGCTTTTCTTTCTTCGCCGCAATTCTCACCATTATTTTCTCCATTCTTCATTTTGCGGATTCTCTTCTTTTTCTTTCTTTCTTTTTTTACAAATTACAAATTGTTTTCGAGCGATGGTTCATTCTGGAGAATGATGGCAAAGATTGAGGATTACGTAGGAGCGGAAGAAAGAGAGTTAGTGATGGAGTTGGTCATTGAACGAGTTATCTGTAATTTGTTCATGAAAAGAATCAAGAAACTCGTTGCTGTTAGAGTAGAAGACGACCCATCTCCATCTCCATGGTGATAATGGATGAAATGTGACGAATTCGAAATCTCCAAATGAAATAAATTATAAATTAAATACGAAAATAAAATAAATAGTTAAGATTTACATTTTTTACATAATAACTTATGAGAATTACTCTTTTGAACATTCTTTACATAATAACTTATGAGAATTACTCTTTTGAAGTAAATATAAAAAAATAAAGAAATAAGTAAAAAATAAATAAAATTAGTATATTACTCGTAACCCTCTTGTGAATTGGGTTTTGGATCCTGATTCTCTTGATCTGAAATTGTTAAATAAGAAATGAGTTATATTAACCCATTAAAAATATCACACTATTTACTGACACAAAAATGAAGGTTGGTAAAAAATTAAAACAACTAATAGAGTATTTAACTAAACAAATGCATTTATTAATAATAAAACAATTTTGTAACGCCTGAAAAATTTGAAAAAATTTATTATTTTATTATTAAATATTTTTATTAAGTTTTTAAAAAAAAAGTGTCACGTCAGCAGCCACGTCAGCAGACCCAGTCAGCAGTCCTGGCCAACCAGGACCTGCCACGTGGCAAAACCACATCGACCGGGGATGGGCCACGTTGGCAATCCGCGTACGCGCGATTGGACGGTCTAGATCAAGCGTGCGCACGGACGGCCCAGATTTAATAAAAAACGGACGGCCCAGATTAAAACAAAATGGACGGCTGAGATCAAAAGGCAAAAGGGTATAAATAGAACCCCCACACCTGACCACAAAAACCCTAGCCGCCTGCCCTCGCCGGAGAAGACGAACAAGACGCCGGAGAAGCCGGCCGCCGCCACCCGCCGCCGCATCGGGGAGATTTTCGACCGCCGATCGAGGTAAATTTCATACCCCGACTCATTTTTCCACGCTGATTTCCCCTGTGGCCAAATCGGAGCCAAAATCCCGGCCCAACGGCCGGAAAACACGACCGAAACCCAGCGGCACCGCCGCGCCCCTCCTCGGTTTTTGCCTCCGATGAGGCCCTTCCCGGCCTCCGTTTGATGCAATTTTTATATTATTGTGATCACCATTCTTTTCTCTACAGGTTGATTGGAGCCGAATCACCAAAACACGAACCTCACGGGAGAGCCGCCGCACCCGAGAGCACCGCCGCCGGTAAGCTTCGGTTTTCCGTAATTTTTTGGCCCCCCGAGGGCCCTAGGGTTGTTTTATCGCAAGGACCGATGCAAGTGTGGCCGAATTAGGCCGGAAACGGCCGAAAACAGCCAAACCGAGGCGAATCGCCGCCACAAGCGGTGGCGCCGTCGCCGGAGCACGGCGGAGTCGCCGTGCCGGAATTGGGATATTGGCCAAAAAGGGGCCCTGGGCCTAATTTGAGATTTTTTTGAAACACGTGCAGGTACTAGTAGTGCGTTTCAGTTCCTCGGAAAAAATTCAGGGAAAATTAGGGACAACCTGTAGGCGCACTGTGAAGCCGTGTTCGGACCCCGAAACGAGTAAGGACCCCTCACCCTATTTCCTATCACGGTATTAAAGTTCAAAAATGATAAAACGGTATTTCTTGAATCAACGAATGTGTGAAATTGCTTAAGGTCGCTAATGGAGCCCGAGTCTAGTGTGTTTGTCGGTTAACTGTTATTTGGCATATTTTACAGTTTTAAATGCAGTATGAGATCTGATGTTTTTATTTCATTGTTTCGCGTGCATATTTTATTGTTTTATTGATTATGGGTTGAATGACTGAGAAACCGATGCTGTATGTTGTCTTGTTTGGCATAAAATTACTGTTTGCTTGTTTGTATGTAAATTGATGATGCTGGCTGAGGAAAAGAAGAATGAAAGATTATGTAAATTGATAATTGTATAATGTGGTCAGCTTGACTAGATATCCTGGGAGATGGTGGACGGACCGGGTCCGTAGGGAACCCTACCGGGATTGTGGTCTCTCATACCGGACGAGGTATGGAGACCTTATGTGTTTTGGCGCTCATACCGGACGGGGTATGGGAACGGCCCGTTTCACCCTCATACCGGACGGGGTAATGAGGTCTATAGTTTTGGCACCCATACCGGACGGGGTATGGGGATGGCCTTGGAATCTGATTTCAAGTGTTAAGGGTTAACGGATAGCGGGACCCCTATGGATACTAGTAGGCTGGTAAATGAGAAAAATATGTTGTGTAATGATTGAATTACAAAAGGCGTGATAAGTATTATGTTATACAGTTTATATGATTTCATGATGATGATAATGTTATTGCTTTCGTATATTGTTTTATGAATTTCACCGAGGTAAGTGGATGGTAAAGGATTTATTATTGGCAAAAGGATTTGTTGTAAATTATGCTCCATTGGTCTTTTTGTGTTTTCTACTCACCTTTACCTCCGTGACGGTGAGATATCGTGATGTCTTTACTGGGCTAGTGTAGCTCATTCCTTATTTAATCATTTCAGATCAGGAAGACATTGTTCCCGAGCCCGTTCCGCAGGAGGATGACGAAGGGGACGCCTAAAGACTCCATAGTCATATTCATAGCTTTTACTTTCGAGTTTCTCCTTTAGTTAGTTTGATTTTTTATATTTTGTGAGCACGTTTTTTGTTTTAGTGTAAGGGATGTTAATCGAAATTTTGACTTCGCTTCTGCATTTGATATTTTTAATACACATTTTATTTTAAATTCCCGGGGCCGTTACAAATTTACCGTCCACTTAACGCAACGAGATTTATAAAAACAACCTATAAAAATAATAACATCGCACTTATCACGATTTCATATGCAATCGGTAACATGAACACATTAGAAATCCATATTTAAAATCAAACAACAACTGTCCCTTTCCATCAGCCTGTTAGTATTCATGGGGGTTCATGGAGATGTCTCCTCTACGCGTGAACCATTTCCTTTAATATTCTCAATTAATGGGCCGTCTCCATACCCTGTCCGGTATGAGTACCAAATTACTAAATCTTAATACCCCGTCCGGTATGAACGCAAATTACCAAGTCTCGATACCCCATCCGGTATGAGATAACGTTCACGGTAGGGTTCCTTATTGTACTCGGTCCACCACCATCTCTCAGGATATCCAATAAAACTGTTGTTTTATCCATTCACTTAATCACATAATTTTCTGTTTTTCTTCAGTCTCCATTTTTCAATTTAATGATAATCACATAAATCAGCAATACATACATTCGAAACTATAAAATCGATCAACGAAATACTATCATGTAATTAACTGTAAAATAATTCAATAGAATCACTAATAGATAATCTCCAGTTCTGACTCCATTAATAACCTGTAATTAATATGAATATTTTTTAAATTACACAAAATATAGTATTATTATTTATTTAGACTTCAATTCTATAACAGAGAATAGGGTGAGAGATTCTTACATAATTTGATGTCTGAAAAGCTAAGCTGTTGACTGCGTCTACTAGCAATTCTCGGGTTCCTTGGATTTTTTTTCGAGAATTAAAATGCGGTATAAGTACCTACAAATATCCAAAAAAACTAAAAAATAGTCTCAAGACCCATGTTTGGCAAATTCTCGAATTCTGCAATGGCGGCTCCGCCGTGCTCTAACGTCGGCACCGCCGCTGGCGGGCGGCAGTCCGCCTTGGCTCGGCTATTTTCGATCAATTTTACATCAATTCCTATGAAGAAAACACATTAAGTGGCATTGGCTGACCGAAAAAAATACAAAAAATTGAAACTCACCGGCGGGGGGCTCTCCA